AGCAGAGCATTAGTGGAACCAGCATGTCATCCATCTGGCAGTGACAGTTCATTTATGGCATTGTGTACTGAATTTAACAGCCTATGGTCATAGATTACAACCAGTTTAATATACTGGACAAGAGGAAGACCTTATGCTGCTGTAATGACAAGCTCTTTATGCAGATCCTGTGGCAACAACTGAGGGCTGGATACACTGAGAGTTCTTCACCCGTTGTTCAGGCTGCATATGACACATCCTAAACACATGTGGAGTAATTATTAAACAGAGACACCAGGCTGGAGTCCTACCCTGCAAGTGCTCTCATTATTTTTTCATATAAGGGAACATCATGCAAGTAAGTGTTGAAGAAAACTGTCCGCCTCTTAACTGGAGCATTGCATGTCAGTATTAAGGTAAGCTGTATATATGTGATCCTGTGCACAGGTAGGTTTTACATGGCAGTATCGCTATTAAGAGTGAGTTAGGTTAATCTACATTTGTCAACAGGTAAGTTTAGGTATAAAGGTAGGTTCAGTGGTAGGTTTAAAGATTTAAGAAAACTGAAAATTCCTCTGATGATGGCGCAAAATGTTAGGTCAGGATATCATTAAAGTTACAACTCAACATGGTTGTGTATACCAAAATTCATGGCAATTCATCCTACAGTTGTCAAGATATTTCACAAAAAAAAAAAACACCAAGGCATTAGAGAAAGCGTCAGAGGAGGACCAAACCCTGTCAGCTTCATCCTCTCTGTACCATGAATATCTGTTCAAATTTAATGTCAATCCACCCATTCGTTGTGGAGATATTTCAGTCTGGACCAAAGTAGTGGCCCGACCAATAAATCGACTGACATTACCACCCCTCGGGCCAGCTGTTAATGTGGCTACAAAGTAATCACTGCTTCTTTGCCTGTGGCCTGACTTTCTAACAAAATTAACTGAAATCTGTTAAGCAGACATCCTGGTAACTAATAGAGACTAACACACAGAGGCACAAATGGACCCAAACATAACCTCCTCCATGCTGGTAACTAATATTGAACTGAGGGAATTCATTATTATGCTGTGATAATGAGTATATCTCCATATTGCTAGGTAAATTGAACCCATTACCTGGAGGACAAATAATCAAGTAACACATTTAACATGCCATTGAGGGCACATTCCATTTTACCCGCTAATAACCCCTGAATCATAATTACATCTAGATTTGGTTGTAAGCTCTATTACATTTGCTCAATTATCCATTTCCTCTGATTGCCATGGTGCCTTTTGTAGTTGCAACAAAGAGCAAATCCTCAGCGGCTGTGTAACATTTAGGCGATCCCTCTGTTTTCCTGTGTAAAGATTTAAAACTGTAAACAACGTTTTTATAATTTACGATTTTATTTTTAAATATTTTAAAATGCTCGGAGAGAAAACAAAGCCTTTAGCTGAGATTACTAATTGCTCCAACAGGTTCCTGTGTCCTCTCCCTGGAGCTCTTGTCCAATGAGAAATTGATTACATATCAGTCTGAGTAAAAAGAAGAAACGTCTGGACTGAGCGAAGGAGGAGATGAGAGAAAAAAAGAGGGCTCGTGTTTTTTTTTTTATTCTGTCTTTTGGCTCCTGTTGATCTGATATTGATCACCTGACATTGGTCAAATATCCCACTCTGCATTGCGGATAGATGCTGATTGGGTGTAGAGGGGATGGGGCCAGAGGGGGTGTAGTCTGACAGGACAGGGCGCATGTGAGGCTGATTAAGACTGTCACCACTAGGAATGTATCACTGATCTAAATGCCTTATTTTGTGATTTGGATGAAACAGATGCTTTGATTGTTAACACTGGCGTACCTACTCGCTCTCTGCACAGGCTGCTCTTAATCTATGCCAAGTCTTGAGGCTGCGGTTTTAAGATGGTTTGTATGTTGGCTCTTGTATTATGTAGGGAATAGCTGTAAACACACACGTTTTCCTTTCCTGCAGTGAGGCTTTGTTTGTCCCTAAATTGAACGTTTCAGTGGAGGAAGAAAGCGTACTTGGTAAGACGAATGTGCTCTTTGTTTTTTTTGTTTTTGGTTTGTTTTGCCTTTACAATCTGAGGATGTTGCCCCCAAAAACCCTCTGTAAGGAGGACCACGGAGACTTTCATCAGCAACTCTGTATAGATCCAAAGTCATTCCCAGTCGTATGAAGTTGCTTTTCAAAGTTAACAAGTGAGCTGAGAAACCCCGTCGAATCAATGCAGAGACTCAGTCAATCATTCATGAATATTATGAATATGCTGTCTGCAAGCAGTTTGCAACTATTCCCCTTTGCCCTGAACAGAACAGAAGGTGCACAGTGTCAGGAGCTCTTACCTCACTGATGTCTAGCTTTACAAAAGGGAGAGTCGCCTTGTTTCCAGGGACTAAGAATAATTGGTGTGTTTATACAATCAATGGTAGAGAGCAGTCAGCCTTCTCTGGGGAAATATGAACACTACAGCACTACCACCTGCTTCTGCCTCTAAAACGAGCCGAGCATTTCACAAAGAGCTATATGACTGCTTTCAGATTGTGTCTTTTGTTCTTTGCGTTGCATTTGCTATGCAATGTTATAGACTGCTGTACTTGTCAATATTACACGTCAGTGTTTTTGTATGTTCTACAATGTCTGTGCTGTGCTGGCCACATTACATCTAAGATGTTCTTCAACACTGCTATGTGCTACCATTTTATTTGATGTACTGTATGTGCTTGTATTTTGACATTAAGTACCTAGATTTGCAGTACAACATGCATCTACTTCAAAATGGTAATTGTTTTGCGGGGAACATAAGAGATACCCCCATAATTACGTTGCTGCTTTTCATGTTTTTCTCTGTGTAATACTCCCACATGGATTCACCAACATCATTATTTTCTTTATGACAAGATGAAAACGCAGACGCTTGAGTGGATCCTCTTTTACGGAGTACAGCTTCTCCAACAAGAACCCCAGGTTGTTAGAAGATTTGCACAACAGTTCATTTTTCAGAAGTAGGACTAGATGGGTTATCTGTTCTTTTTAATAGCGCTGTCTTTTTTAAGGACTAGTTCGACATTTTGGAAACATGCTCATTTGCTTTCTGAGGAAAAGGTTCAATTAGAAGGGTGTTACCACTCCTATGATGACAAGATATATCTATCAACACCTACAAAATCTCACTAATCAACACGTTTTTCCCCTCGATTTTGTCTTCTGGCTTTCTGTACATTTTGAATAAACAGGAATAACTTTGACAAACACCATCCCTCCCATCCTGAGTAACAAAACTTTCTACGTTAAAGGACAAACTTTGACAAATATTATCAAATATAAATGTGCAAGCTATATTAGATAAGTGTGATTTAAAAAACACACAAAAATAAATATATAAATAACATAAAAATAAAAATTAAACAGGGAGGAAAACTTGAAATAAGAAATGAATAAAAACTCACACCTACTCGTACACAGATGCTTACCTATATACATTAATACATACTGTGCATACCACAAAGCGTATAAACATTATTTACATTATTATTATTAACCATAATTAGAATGAGGACTGTTCACAACACTCATTATCCTATTCTCTCTTCTCTAATTAATGTTATATCTTTTTTTGTTCAATCCGCACAAAAACAGGAGAGTATAAAAGACAATTTGCTGGTTTACCGTGGGTTATGTGTCAGACCATTTCTTGGAAGCTGACAGCAACTTCCTGGAGTCCCCACTGGTTGCCTGGCGACTACTTAATTAGTGAGCTTAAGAGATGCTGGTCAGCGGATTTTGTTATCATCAGACTTAGCCGTGCTAGCTGTTTCCCCTGTGTTGAGGCTTTATGCTAAGCTAAGATAACCGGCTGCTAGCTGTAGCTTCATATTGTACGTACAGATTTGAGAGTCGTATTTCCCCCAAATGGCTATTTATTCCTGTAAGTCCACAGTCCTCAAAGTTAATTCAGCAGAAGCTGCTCAACATCAGAGCCAGTCCAATATTTGGATATCATTTCTGCAAAACAAGCAAGCTCCACAAAACACAACATCATGATCAATTTCTTTGTTTACTTCGTTCACTGTTTGAGGGTGAGCTTATTATTTATCTTCACTGGATTGTTCAATAAGCCATTCAGATCTAGGGTAGGAACTTTTATATCTATAAGCCAAAATGGAGATGTTCATTATTTTACCAAGACAGGAGCAGAAAATTATAAGGGCAGCTCCCAATGGTGGTTGGTTATCTGCCAAAGATGCCAGTGGAGTAAACTGGCTCAGCAGCTAACATTCAGCTGGTGGTAATTTCCCACCCTGCTTACGCCTCTCGCTCATACATGTTTCAGTTATTCTTCTTCTTCTATGTTAAAAAAAGTCTTTCATTTCCCAATTCCTTTAGGTCATAAGTAACCTAGATGCAGTTGTGTGTGGCTCAGTGAGTCAGATATGGCACTAACACTGCCCAGGGCGAAGCATTCGTGTCCCATGGAGGTACCTATAGTAAAACTGCATGTGTTTGGATGAAAGTATCCCTGACCTACAGCACATTTTGCAGGTCATTTTCCTTCATTCCAGTAAAAATATATCACCTTTACATGGGGAACAGTTAGTGGGTAACCTTATTAGTTGTCAGGTTTGCAGAAACTTGCTTCAGATGTACATGAGTGTATAAAACGTTTTTGTTTGGGCTTTTCTAATGCCTTCATTGGACAGGACAGATTAAGAATAAAAGGGGAGAGACAGGGGATGACATGCAGCAAGGAGCCATGGTTTGGAATCAAACCTGTGGCCGCTGTGGCAAAGACACTGCCTATGCACATGGGACACCAGGTCTACCAACTGAGCTACTGGGCACCCATATCAAATGTTTCTAAACACTTTTAGTGCCTGTCAAAGCAGAAAGCAAACTTGATTAAGTCAAACCACACAAATTACAGGGCAAACAGGACCTGGTACGATGTAAAACATGCGGTATCCACTGGACCACAAACATCCTCCATTAGAGAAAGGTCACACGAGCTCTTACCTTTGTAGAAGCACTCCTCACTGTGCATGATGGTAATCCTGTGTCCTCTGAGACAGGAGGCCCGGTGAAGCTCACAATGGTTCTGATACAGCTTCCCATCTGAACCACACACGGGTTTATAGTGTGGTTTACAGTGATCCAAGCACTTACACTCCCCTTGGCCAGTCTCATGGTTGGCCACACAGTGACGCCCCAAGCCACAGTACTTGTGTTCACATGGACTTGGATAGCCATTGTGTCCCATAAAACCTGCGGAAAGCACACAGAAAGAAGATGATTACATTTCTGTCTGACCACAACCGGTGATCTATATCTGAATGTGCCTGAGCAGATGGAGAGTCTTAGTTTAAGCTCTTGTTGCAGGTTGGATCTCATTTGGACTGTTTCAGTCGCCTCCACCCTCGGGGAATCCCTCATCAATACTGGATGGTGTTTTTCTAAACTCACAAAATGTCAGTCAAAACCATAAATTATGCAAGTCAAGTTCACTATCAAGCACCCACAGTGGGAGTGATTAAAAAAAAAAGCCTGTTCACTTCAACCCAAAATTTCACCGAAAATGCCATGCAAGGCAAAACATCTTATTGCATATGCAGAGGCAAGACTGCAAAGATGTCTTATACATGTAAGTACATCTTAATCAAATTACTTGAAAAAACTATCAGAGAAAAATATGTTCAGTATGTTCCAGGTACACTGAAGCTTTGCCATTTTAAGGCTATTCCAAATCAGTTTGTGGTGAGGAGAGTGGACTTTTTAAACCTCTGACTATAAATGCAACAGCACCACTTAATGGAAGTGCATACAGTAAAAAAAAAAAAAACATTTTAAAATGTTGTGTTGCTATTAGGGATAGACCGATATGGATTTTTTTAGGGCCGATGCCGATTTTTTTCCATCACCCTTAGCCGATGAGCAATTATGGACTGCCGATTTTCTTGAGCCGATATTTGGGGCCGATACTGCTTTTGCTCCCTCAATTTACATCAAAAAAATGCCACAATGATAACAAATATTACAGGTCTCAAGTTTAAAATAAGAAACATTTATTGAACAGTAAAAAATACTAAAACAAGATGGAAAGTTGAGGTAGAACAGGTAGAATATTATTATTATTATTATACATTCAAATAAAAAAAAGAGTTCAGTGCTCTTAAATCTTCCAGTAATGTCTTTATAAAATAAACAAATATTTAAGCTGAAGCATAAATAAAACAACAGCTACTGTACACAGTAGGATTCGCTGCATGTGCGCTGCAGGGTCTTCCGGCAACACAGAGCTGCCCGTGGATGCCTGTCTGTAAATCATGCCAGGGAAAAATAAACCCACGAACCCACGCACGTATCGGCCGATGCCGATACAAGTAAAAAACTCAAATATCGGCCCGATGTATCGGTCTATCCTTAGTTGCTATATTGTCAATTATAATAAAACCCACACAATACATCACTTGACACTGCAATTAGTGATTATTTTTTTAAAATTCACTGATTATTCTGCAGACTATTTTCTTGATTAACGTTTTTGTCCATAAAACTTGAGAAAACGAAGACAACTTCCTAGTTTTTAGTTTAGTTTAGTTTATTTATTTATTTTGGATGTTGGACAAAGAAAATCGAATACATTCAAATAGAAAACATTCATTTGAAAATATAAATGAAGAGAGAAAATGAAAGAAAAAAAGAAAATTCAAAAGGAAATACAAATCCTATCATGACGCCCTTTTTAGAAAACTATAATTATTATTTTTTTTTTTTTTATAATTTTAGAGTCCATATGTCCTATGAGAATATCCCAGAGCACAAGGTACCATTGCTAAATCCACTGGTTTAGTAAAAGCCCATTGCACCACATATAACAGTTGTTTTATAAATGTTATGCATTTAAAAGGAAACAGGCACACAGTTATTCAGTACAATGCAACAGCTGGGGGGCAGAGCCTCTGAGTGTGTGTGTATACACTGTATATAGTACAGTGGAAACGACTCATTGTGATCATGGTTACAGTGATCGACTGCTTACATGGATTAAAAAGCTTTGGACACTGTACAAATGCTGATTAAATAATCTTCTTATAGTAATCAAGTAGTCCCCTCAAAGTTTTTTCGGGGTCTTCATACATGAAAACATACACAATTGTACTGCTATCTATTTAATTATTAACATCATTATTATTTGTTTTACCATACCATTACACTTAACCTTTCGAAAATGAGTCTGCTTCCAGCTGGCTACCTGAGCCTTGTGCTGTGTGCGCATTGAAATCATGACTGGAAAAAGAAAGTTGTTTTGAGACAACGAGATGCAACAGCAAAACTTGGTGTTTTGCTTCATGTTCCTCAGGCTACCTCATGTAGTTTACTCAAACGACAAGCAACAGTCATGGCTGCTAGTGATGGAGACAGAAAATGGATGCGCAAGGGGAGAGCACCTGTGGTTAAAGCCACCCTCATCAAGTGGATTCACTATGCCTGGTCATGTAATGCCCACGTAATGAAACATCTGTTCTGGACTCTAGTGGGGGGCGAGGACATTTTTAGAGCTAGAGGAGAAGACTACTTTGCAAGACGGCAAAGCTGGTACTTACAATTTTCAGGTGATTTGCCAAGCGTGTTGTAGATTTGTGATAAGCCAGTCTCCTTTCATTTGGCATATCTGCCACTTAACTTTTTGGGGGTCACAAATTTGGAAACTATTCCAGACTTTCTCAACATCTCGCTCACTCATCTGTAAGCCTGTCACATGTGGTTTAAACTGCCATGGTTTCAGCAGTGCTGGACTGCTGGTGACTGAGTCACAACTCTCACAAAGTTTAAATGTCCTTGTAGGAGAATATGTACCAATAATTAATGTTGATGCATATGAATAATGTTGAATTACTAATTCTTATTTTTTAGGTTAATATATATATTCAAAATACAAATAAACATGTGTATATAGACATAGATCTATATATTGAAACAGAGAATTTAAATATTGTTTTGGACATTGAACACTATGTGAATGATTGAAGCTTCGAAGCATTCGGGTGCAGGGTTGCCCAATCAAAAATTTACCTTCATCGCGATATCAACATGCATGATGGAGGTGTCACAAAAGACTGTGTGAACTGCAATAAACAGTATATTTACATATGCCGTGTATTTACATGTTGCGTGTCATGATGAAAAAGTGGTGTTGCGTAACTTTAGGACTACTGGTTTTGAAAGTATTTCTCATGTCACACAAACCGCTGAGTCAAACTTGTGTTTTGGATGTTATTATCATACTGTCCGTGATGTGTCGGTGTTTTTGTTCTGGTGCTCTGCACAGATCTGACACCTGCCCGCCTGCCCACCTGTTCTTATCCTCAGCTCTCTAAAGCTTGGTGCACCACCTTTTCCTCGTAAAGGCGACGGGGCGGCACGAAGGTCCCTGGGGGCCGCCAGACAATAACCTTGTATTTTAAGGTTAATAAAAATAAATACGAATTCACAAATATGTAAAGCACAGAGAACAGTAGTTCATAGCCACTGGGTTTGGACCCCCTAGGGGGTCACCACATAAACCTCAGAGGTCAAAAAATCTAAAAGATTTTAAACAGCTCAATAAAGTTAATCTTATTTACCCATTTAAACCTCAAAGAAACATCCTAAGAACTCAGTCAAAGGAAATCTTCAGTTCAGCTTTTGATTGAACTCACAGCTCACATTTAATCAACAACTTGTGATGAGGGGTTGCAAATATGTGGCATAGTGTATGTTTACAGTGACCAGTGTGTCCCACAATTTACCTGCTTATTTACAACCTCCACCTTGCTGCTACTGCGATTTGATATGAATTAACATTCCACAGTGAATAACTAAAGGGGAGGAAACGGCTCAGGCTTTGCAGGAACCAATCCTTTCTCTTACAAAGTGACCCTTACAAATGATGAAGGCTAAACATCATTGAGTATTCATTTGATCCAGGGACTGAGGGTTTGAAATGAAAGGAAAGGCAAAATAAAAAGCTGGAAACTTGTCCTTGAGCGAGACCCTTATTCCCTGCCTGATTCTGGGGTGCAGTCCTGCAGCAAACCCTGAACTCTGACCACCGTGCGGAGGAGGCAAGAAAAGGAGAATTTCCCTATGGGGATTAGTGGAGCAGCTGGGAAAAAGGCTAATAACAGAGCCAACAGTGCAGCTTGTGTGGCGTTTCAGCAGCAGTTGTTCAGAAACAGTACATAAATTCATAAAAACTAGAATATACTACAAGAGTGTAAGGATGATTTAGATTACAAAAGGTTTTATGAGAACCTTTAAGAAATAATTAGAGTGATTTTCTCTGAGAACAGGATTCTGTTGTGGTCTGCCATTTCAACCTGTATGAGCACTAATAAGTCTTGACAGGCCACAGATCAGTCTGTACAGTAACCCTTGAACCACATCAAATGTATCGGCTTTCTAATAGCAGCTTGCTCACTCTAAGATTGCCCTTTGGAATAGTCCTCAAGGGGTGGACGGGTATGATGAGCAGATAAAAAAGAAAAAAGCCTCACAACCATTAGAGCAAATGCCTCTCAAGGCTGCACCGTTATATAAAGTTATGAACATAAGGTACAGCTGGTGATGACTGCACAGAAAATGATTATAGGTTTGTCCACAGCTTACTCCATTTGTGAAAAGGTCACTGTATTTGTAAATGTTAGAGTACTGCCCTTCAAAAAAAGTAATAAGTAAAAGTAATAAGATCACAGTAAAATATATATATATATATATATATATATATATATCCATCG